GCATATATGAGTTGCTGAAGTTGATGTTTTTGTTGGTTGTAGTAATATTAATTAATATTGTGTATGGTGTATGATGTTATGAGGATGTTGTTAATGATATTTCATATTCAAATATATGCATGCTATTTTGATGGTAATTATGCTTTTGGTGACATACACGGTCAGAAGAGGGGTCAATGCGTATGTGTTATTGTTGCATGTTGAGAATCCATGAATTCATGTTGTCAGAACTTGGTTCTTTTTGGTGAGCCTTAATCCTATGTTGATGGATCGGGTGCAAGTAGCTAATTCCTATTATGGGGGATTAGTGAAGCATTATCTATAGTGATGGTAACGAGTTTTGGTGAGCCTTGATCCCAATATGATGAATTGGGTGCGAGTAGCTAATTCCTATTATAGGAGATTAGTAAAGATTTACTTATGGTGATGGTAGCGATTTGGCGTGCTCCGGTTCCAAGAGGGAATCGATCCTCTGGTGGGGATCATGGAGTGAAATGATCTTGTGCGTTCATAATTTGGTACCACATGCATGTTGAGTCAGTTGTTGGATGCATTGCATTTAAGTTACATTTGGTGATTTCCTGGATGTTATGTTGTGTGGATGATAATACTTGATATGCCTATGTGGTTGTATTTGGCGGTGGTGTTGTTAGATAAATCTACTTTCGATTGTCTTTTACCGTTATTATTGAATCGTATTCTCACCCCTTCTGTTTGAATGTTGCCTTTACATGAGCATCGTGTAGATACTTAAGAGTAGCATTGTTGAAATACGTGGAAGATAGTCTTGGAGTTAATTTCGTAGTTTATCGTTTTTATTTAGTGTTTCCTTGCTCTGATCATGTAACATTTGATTGGGATAAACGCAATTTAATTTTTGTATTATTCTTGTCGAAGTTACAAAACTTTTGTGTTATTGAGATTTTTAAGTTATTTTAAGTTGATTGTCATACTCTTTTGATTATGCTATTAAGTTGAAATTCATGAGACTTAATGTCTTGAGTTACAATGTTATTGTTGTATGTTTATTAGTGATTCCGCTACAATGATATTGTAAATTCTTGGGTGAGCATGCGAGGACAGGTACTGAATGCCTTATTATACAAGTACTTGACCCAAATCAGATGTGTTGGATGTCGTGTAACATTCCAAGTACAAATCAGATGTGTTAGATGTCGTGTAACATCCCATGTATAAATATGTGCATTTGAATTTATTTTTGTGTTAACCCGTGTTACGGAGCAGATTATGTGTTTTGATGTGTGTGACACCTTTGTGGTTATGTTTTCTAATTAAAATATTCGATTATTGTTTTAGGGTATATAAGGGTGTTATATAACATGTAACATCCGAGGTCGAAGATGGCGGAGAGTGGTTACATGTAACAGTCGGAGGCGAATGAGTGGTTGTCGGTGCATGAAACATGACAATGAGACACTTCTAGCAGCTTTTTGGGAAAAAATGAATTCACATCAGAATGAGAGGGATCCTGAGGTTGTGCATGTATGAGACTGCATGGTTAAATGAAAGCTTATAGAGATTAATTGGTATTACCTATACCAACAAGACGCATATTCTTTTCGATAGCCCGTTCCATAAGAACTTCACAGTTAAACATGCTTGACTTCGAGCAATTTTGGGATGGGTGACCTTCTGGAAAGTTTCTCGTAAAACGTGTGAGTGAGGACAAAGCATGCTGAAAAGACCCGTGTTAGTTTGTAGGCTCAGTCGGTAATCCTGAAAGCAGTCAGGAGCGTTACATGCATGACTTTGCATATCTGTATTTGGATGAGGAAAGGATAATTGCTTTTTCAGCGATATATTGGCCTTTTCCGAACTGGGCACGAAGAAGACGTGATCTTAGACTCCTGTTCTAAAAGGAAGAGAGCTGATATGGTTGTCATGGATGATTCCCCCGCTCCTTATTTCTATTTTTACCTTCGCATCATTTATGACCTGGGGTCTTAATCCCTTTCACATCATTTGAGGTTGAATTCGTGACGACCACCAATGTCATCCCTTATCAAATTATACCAAATATTTAGGGTATTATTAGAGCCTTCGAGATTCGGTGTCGTCGGATGGAGGTCCATCATACCGTTGATGTATTCTTTCCTTTTTACAGTATTAGACATACCCCTATAAGTCTGTGGGTGACCTTGTTTAGTATCCTAGGAAAAAGCTACTAACACCCTCACTATAACCTTTACACAGGCTGGAAGGGTTTGTGATAGTTAAGAGGTGAGATGGTGCTTCGATGGTCACCGATAGGGCGACTCGCATCAAGTTTATGTGTTCTCGTACCTTGATCTCTCTAGATCTAAGGGGCGATAGCAGGATAAACAAATATCTAGGTGAGTCTATCACTGGGTAACATCTCTGTTTGAGGTTGTTTCTTAAATAGTTTTCTAACTCTTTTTTCTCTATATCTCTTGCACAAAAAACAATGTTAACATATCCATTGACCGAGAGAAAGGAACAATTGTCTAGGAGGATGGCTTAACGTGAATCTTCATTCGTCCCCCAAGTTGCCTGATCGATCAAACTTCAGAGGAGGGCGCAAATCTCATCAAGGACCGTCATGTTATTGATGAACCCCATCAAATATTCCAAAGCACAGAGAAGGTGCTTCTCAATCCCTTGAGGGAAGACGGTTAACGATTATCGGGGATGGTAAGGACGCAGGTGAGCCTCGACTAACTGGGGATAGTTCTCGTCATCTTTCATCCTTTTGGAGGGACACCTTATTTGATGTTATTAAGTGCACTAAGACTCGTCTGCCCTTCCTCGAGGATTTCCCATCTGATTACTGAAACCTTCATAATAGATTACCCTCAGAGTTGTTCAATGTGGCAGAAGCGTATATGCTAAGGATTTTCTTGATCGAACGAGATCAACAGGAAAAACATACTAAAACTATTGATGACGAGATCTAAACTTGCAATGGCCTTGTGGCTCATTACTTAATTTCTAGAAATAGTGAGGACTTTGGTGAAGGAGTATGAGGACTTGAAAGCTCTACTCAGGAAAATGGTGGTAGAGACGTGAAGTTACGCTATTGTCGCTGCAAAATAGAAGGGCTCTTTGAATGAGGTCCTCCATTCTCTCAATAGATTTAAGGAGGAAATATTTGTCCTTAAAGATGACATGGTCGAGACTTCTAAACTATACTTCGAGTGGGAGAATGAACATATACCCTTTCTCTATCCTGGGTTGTATTTAAGCTAGATGGATTTGTTTAAGGTGGTCCGGGGAGATTAGCTGGCGAGCAACGAGTAGGTCCTGCCTATTGGGGAAATCACTATGAATGGTTCCTTGAAAAACGATACCTCTTGCTTTGAGGATGCCTTAAAGAATCAATGATCTCAAGGCATATCCATTTGTGGCTTTGTAATGGTATTATATAAGCATTTTTGTCCCTATCTCCTTTTCAAATTTTTGTAATTATTTATCACTCATTGGTCTTTAATCAACAATATGTTTAATTCATCTTTGTGGACTACTTTGTCCTATAACTTTAAATGTATATTTTTAGAGATGAAAGCCCTCGCATGAAGATGCCCTTATTCAAAAGTTCCCTTTAAGGAAATTCAACGCTTTTGATCGCCACAAAAACTCTTTTTTGAGTATTCAATGTATGTTATTGCTTCAAAGGACGGAAACAACTACTCTGTGATGATACAATATGTAATTGTCACGAAGGAAGACAAGGACTCCTTCCTGAGGATCCAATGTGTAATCGTCTTTGAAAGGTGACAAGGATATATATATTTTAGGTCATAAATTTGTCTTTTTTCCGAAAAGATGGTTTTTGTTTTGCAACATGATCAAGCCACTAAAGATACAAAATTTCGACAGTGGGATTTCTAAGACTAGGTTTTGAAGGGTTAAAACAATCTAAGACTAGGTTTTGAAGGGTTAAAACAATCATACATGAATCTAAAAGAATTAAACACAGTTTCTAGAAACCTATGTAGAATGGGTAGGCTATGACCTTAGTTGAATTTTCATTGATGTATGTTTCTTTTTGGCATTTTTTTTTGTTCAAATTAAATAAATTGGACGGATAATTGTTGAGATATAAGGTAAAATTTCTTGAGAGTGATGAAAGGTCAAGTGATAGCAATTTTCCTAGAAAATTGATAATAAAAACTTTGAACAAGATTATGTAGATTTAGCTCTTTGGAAACTATATTTTGATGACGTGTGCCATTGCAAAGACAGTGGAATTGGAATGCCAATCATATCTCCTCAAGGATACCCAAGTAAATTCAAATACAAGTTATCTACGAAGTGTTTGAACAACAAAACAAATATGAAGCTTTAATTGCTGGTCTCAAATTACTTCTTGGAATATATGTCTTCGAGGAGTCTCACAATTGTTAATTAGTCAACTGAACAAAGACTACAAGTGCTCATGTTCTGTTAAAGTATTATGACATTTCCAATAGATTGTTATCCATGTACGATGAGGTAATTTTGGAATACATTCCTCATAATGAGAATTTGCAAGAAAACAAATTAGCTCAAAAACACATGGGTATAAAATCTTAAGTGAACATTTTCACAAGATTATCAGGGTTCGAAGATCTAACACCAAATGTGATTTCAAGGTCATACATATTAATTAAATCAAACTCAGATTGGATAATGAGTTTTATAGTAGAGTACTTAAATAATCCCAATTCAAGTTATGACAAGAAATCAAAACATAAAGCATTATTCTACACTATACTTGGTGATGATTAAATATGCATGATGTCTTCTAAGCATGATAATGCAACTTCAGAATAAAAAAAGACAAAAACAGAGACTATAAAAAGAAGTCTTCTAAGCATGATGTTACAACTTACATCCTAAGCACAAGATCATTTCCAATAAACTCGTTTCCGAGTGGTAAAATTTCAATCAAGATAGGATGAACATTTCCAACTGTAATGATTACTATACCCGGAAAGACACTGGTATCAAAATGTGAAGGCAATGCTTCAAACACATGATTATCTTCTTTTTTTCCCACCTTTCCCAGATTTGTTGGAAGGTCCAGCAGTTGCAGTTGATGCTGATGCGGTTTCCTGCTTCTTGGTTCTTCCATGATGTCTAGGGACCATCTCGGCAATGCATAACATTAGTTGCTTTCCTGCAAAGAAATCACAACAAAAATGATAACATGAGATACTAGTCTATCTCTTTCATTAAATCTATGCATCTAGAAGAAAACAACAAGAAAAAAACTTTCTAAACCTTTTGATGTGTGATACTAGCAAAAGAACAGTGATTCTGGACTCGGCGTTCACAAAGACCTTACAAAAGTAAATTATCATCATGTATGATGTCATTATCACATCAAACCAAATATCAATTTAAAAAGATTTCATGTCTATTTTCTGGTTTCCTTCTTTCTCTGCCTAATCCTATAATTTCTGTGGTCTTAAACATATGTATCAGGAAAAAAAAAAAAGCTTTATCTTAGGGCCAATATTTTATTATCACGGTCTCACATTTTTTCTGACTAACTTCGGAGTTTGATATGGCCATTTTAGATCTTACAATTAATTATTAACAGAAGCTTTAGGCTCTTGGGTTTTTTCGAGGCTAAGTTAAGATATAATGATTGTTGGAATAGAATGAGATGGAATTGAACGGAGTAAAATTAACCACATTGTTTAGACAGTTTATGATGGAATAGATTAAAGTTTTCAATATCAATGTTTAGCAAGTGCATCAAATGGTAAGGTAGCAAGTTGGTTTCGTTCTATTTCATTTCATACCCACTAAATTGGGGGGCAAGGGATATATTAGATGGAATGAAATAGAATGCACTCCATTAGGTTTTGTTCCATTTAATACTTACAAACAAACCAAGGAAAACACTAAATCGATGTTAATCCATTTCATCTTCTTCCACAAATACAAACATATCACTTGCTAATTGTCTCATAAAGAGTATATATTAAGAAATTTGTTTATTGTACGTAGAATCAGTATAATCTAATTAGACCAAAATGCTATACCCAAGCAATGCTTCAATTTTTGAAGTTTTACAATAAACTATTAAATATCCGGCATGTCAAATAAATTAAAACTTCATTGTGAAACATAATTTTGAAAGAGTTTTGTGTAATGTTTCAAATCTCCCTCCTTGTGATGTTATCAACAGTTCCATGTAAATTATTGTTTCCTGATTCTTCAATTTGTGTTTTATAACCATACTACTTTAGTTAAAACAAAGTACTTTAACCTTAATGAACTTGAATTTGTAAAAGTACTGCTGGCTAAATAGTCAAAACATTGGAGCATGCTTTATGATATGGCTTTAATTTTTAAATAGGTCACAATATAGACGAATAAAAAATGCCAAAAATATGTAGTTCCTAAGTAGCTCCTACGTTGATCAAGGTGCATAAAGTCACATGCATAATGTATGACTACTATTTTCCCTTCCCCTTGCCTTGGGACTCAATTTCATTTTAAGAAAGAGAGAAAACAACTATGTGACACCGACACCTCTAAAAAATGGTGTGCCCGTGTCTGTGTCCTTGTGATCACGTTTAATTTATTCATTTTTTCAAATTATTACTGGCGTCACAGTGTCGGGATCGTGTTCGGGTGTCCGTGCTTCATAGGAAAACAACAAAATATTTTCAATTGTTTTCTCGCATGCTTTTAAGCTTCACCTATGTGTGAGCACATCATTAACACATAATGTTGAACTGCTACTTTTATGTTAAATAAAATGGCATAACATTAACATCAGTCTAACTCTTGATATCCAATACCATTCTAAGTCCATCCACATTTAGAACTTAGCAATGACCAATTCCAATACAGACAGTGTCCAGTCCAGACTCCAGAGTCATATAAAGGTGGAATATTATAAGGAATGCTGCCCGGTAGAATGTGTCATCAATGTGGATACACTTGATGATGAAGTTGACAAAGTATCCAAACTTAAAGCCAATCGAAATGCTGACTGATACGAACATCAGAGTTGGAAAAAGATGTCAAAGTAATCATCATGACACTGATAATAGTACTTCACATCAATGTTCCGTCTATAAAGTATTTGATATAAATGGGATGACATCCTCAGACTTTGGCAAGCAATTTTTGAATTACTCTTTTGCATGCAATGTCCATATCCTATCTTATTATCTACAATAACAATCTAATTGCTGCAAGTTCTGGCATTTAGGTATTACTAAATGATGAATGAATGTTTTGTTCGAGTTTTGCAGTCAGTGAAGTCCTTTACCTAATGACCCAATGTGAAACTCCATATCCCTTTGTTTTCTACCATTCTGCACTCTAGTACAGAATCTCTATCTCTTCTAAGAAAAATCTTTCACTAACTACGCATAGCAGCATTTAACACCTACATTTTCCAGTCATTCAATTGCAGTGGATCATGGCTAACAGTTTATATCAAATCATACAAAATGGCTAGATTTATAAGCATCTGAACAAAATTATATAAATTAACATCATTCTTATAATTATTGAATAACTTACTGGAAGAAATTGATGGATTAATGAGAGTTCCATCTTCCTTTTTCAGCAAAACCCTAACTCGCCCTCTTTGCATGAAATCACGAGGGTAAGCCTTATCAATCTGCGATCATCAATAAATCAACACATTTTCCAACATTCAGTTCCACAAAATGTGATCGATTAAAATTCAAATTCAAAGTCAAATATGAAAAATAGAGTGAGAAACCTCGATCGCAAAAGGAAGTTTAAGATAACTGCAACAATCCCCAATTTCTGCACAAGTAGGGTTTTCGCATGATTTAGAGATGCCGATTCGTCTTCCTTCAGCTACAGTCTTTTTGGAATTTATATAAACAGGATACAACACAATCCATTTCTTTATGCTTGGCAATTCACCTTCCATTGTTATTGTGAAATTCAGATGAGATCTATCACAGTAATCATCGAAAATGGTGAAGGAGGAAGAAAACGGTGTCGCATTCAGAAATTTATTGGGCCGACCCAACCTAATCTCAGCCCATTCAAATCAAGACTTTTTTTTAAATACTTTTTATCAGTTTTCTTTCTACTTTTACACTCCCTTTCCGATTTCTAATTTTCTATAACAAGTTATATGTTAGTTTTATAATAAGATGATATTTATTTTCTTCCTATATACACTTTGAAGCAAGGAATATACATAAGCAACATACCAATCCACTTTTAAAAAATACTATATAGTATAGAATATATTCTTACTACAAATTTCAACTTTCTTTAATGAAAGGATGATGAAATAAAACAATCCCTAACCCTATAAATAACAACAACAAAAAAAAACTGAAAGATATAGCCAAAATTGTGAACTCATTGTTATACATATACATCTATCTAGGCATGGATACCAAAGATGATGGTTTGTTCCCCTCTTTTATTGGATACAATATATTTGCTTATTTTGTGTGATTTAAAGGGGTAGCAATGCAGTTTATCTGTTTGTCTGTTATTTCTATATAATATTTATTATCTATGAGATATTCTTTGTGATTTAATTATAAAAATAATTCCAGGTATTTCTAGATCCATAGTAGAGGCTTCACCAGCTCATTACATAATGAAAATACAATCATTTTCACTCCTCACTAAAAATTCTATTGAGAGATATGAATCCGGTATATTTGAAGCTGGAGGTCTTAAATGGTATACATTATATATATTTTTGTTAAAATGTTGGTATCTAATTGAGAGTGAATGTATGTTATAAAACGTGGTTATGCTTCACAGGAAGTTAGTTTTGTACCCAAGTGGAAACAAGAGCAAGAATGTAAAGGATCATATTTCACTATACTTAGTGTTGGAAGAATCAAGCTCACTTTATCCTGGTTGGGAAATTTATGTAAATTTTAAGTTGTTTTTGTTTGATCACAACAATGACAACTACCTAGTTGTCCAAGGTATTTGTTTTTCCATGAAAAATTGTTTAGTACACTTTATGTACCATATTTGTATAAATTACAACAAACAAACAACTAGGGTCTCTTACCGTTTTCCGTTAACTGCATTTAACAGATGCTGCGAAAAAGGAAAGAAGATATCATAGAATGAAACTAGAATGGGGTTTTGATCAATTTATTCCTCTCAAGGATTTCAATCTTGGCTCTAAAGGTTATCTGGTAGATGATATATGTGCATTTGGAGCAGAGGTCTTCATTTGCAGGGAAAGAAACACGGGTAAAGGTGAATCTTTGACAATGATGAAGGATGCCTTGCCCTACAAGCATGTCTGGGAGATCAAGGACTTCTCAAAGTTGGATTCAGAATGTTGTGACTCTGAACCATTCAATGTTGGAAACTTCAAGTGGTACAAATAAATAACCTCCATTCAAAGAGTTTTATTTGAACTCAACTTGAAATTTGACAAGTTATCAACAATTATGCTAATTTTTGCAGGCAGATAAAACTTTATCCCAAAGGAAGAGGCATTGAATTGGGCAAACATCTTGCTTTATACCTAACTTTAGTTAACCCAACAGCCCTTTCACCAGGCTCCAAAATATATACACAGAGTACGCTACGCATATTTGATCAAAAGCATGGCAAACATCAAATTGGGAAAGGTAAAATTTGTTACACTTTAAGGTGCAATACACAATAAAAATGCCAGCTAGGTTTGATTTGCAAATTAATGTATTTCGCCACTTGCAGATATTAACTGGTTTAGTGCCTCAAGTCACGAACATGGTTTTTTAAGATTTCTTTTGATAAGTAATTTCATCAGTCAATACTCTGGGTTTCTGGTGAAGGACACTTGCTATGTAGATGTCGAGGTTACAGTTCTTGGAGTGGTTGATGTCTTGTCCTGAAATTGTGTCAAAGAGTATATTGAAGAATGTAGTTGCAGTGAAGCATTCGGGGAAGCATCGAATTAATAAATCGAAGAATCAAAGAAATTACCAGTAATGCTCCTGCAAATTCTACAAATCCATTACACCCCGTCCACACTGCATTCTATTAGTATAACAGCATTCAATCTATGTACATTTCACATAATATATATTCCAAGTCTTCTATTGTTAACATGAAAAAAAAATATAGCCATCTAAATCTTTGCAATATACATTTTATTTGAAGTACAATTGATCAATGTTACACACACCAAAGATTCTGGTATTGTCATGTCATACATACAAGTACATTATGTACTGAATTTATTTACAACAATTTGCAAATACTTGAAGGAATTAATCATCAAATGCAAGTCATGCAACCAACCAAGTTAACCGAATGTTTTCTCGCTGCTGTAACACATATACAGAAACCCATCCTCATCCTTGTAAGTTTGATGGATGGAGTTCATAAGGCTAGCTGCACATGATAGAATCACAAAGCCACATTCAGAACATATATCAGCTTCCACATAAAAGTCACATCGAAGAAGACATAATCGTAACTAACAACTATTTATCGATAATGTAAGTTGCATTTACCGGTTTGAGGTAGCGTGTTTTTCACAAAAATAAACAGAGCTTTCCCCGACGTCAAATTTAGCCTACTACTTAAAATGTGAATAAACTGCCCAACCGACATATCCCGCGGAACCAAATACCTAAAATAGAAAAATCACGAGATTACAAAAAGATCAAGGAGGATTCAATCCTCGACAAAATAGAAAATACTAACATAACAATTAACAATTAACAATTAACATATTAATCGCTTATATAAAAAATTAAAATACATTATTATACAAAAACTAGCAAGTTCATTTAACTAAATAAAAAATAATAATGATAATGTTGACAATTTAAGATGCATCATAGAATTATTAATGCAGGTTAGGGTTTATTTGCAGAAAAAGTATATAGTAATATTACATAACCTAATTTAGGAAAAAATGCAAAGAAAATCATAAAAATCAAAACCTACTTCTTCTTGTCCAATTCAGGTAGGTCTGTTCTAGAATATTTCTCAATGATGACCTAAAACAATACACAGTGCAAGAACAAGAAGATAAATAAATAAATACATAAAAAATAATTTCAAAAAATTGAGAAAAAATTGGAGGTAAATAAAAAGAAAATCATACGGGAACTCGATCTGGATATTTAACTAAGATACTTTGTGATTCCTTCCGTCGTTCATCTGGATCCAAATAAAATCAAGAAACATGAATTAATGCAATATAATAACAATATGATATATTGAAATGTGAGAAAATTTGAGATGAAAACGAACCGAGTGAGAATTCTTGTTTGAAGGATTTGATCTTGCCCATGAGAAATGAGAAATTTGTTGTTGGAGGAGGTGATGATTTTACAGAGAACAGAGAAAGAAGAAACTTACGTGTGTTTATTTATTGAATGAAATTGAAGTTCCAATAAAATGGAATTGGGAGAAATTATTCTATAATATTCCGTTGCGTCCACCGTCAATTTTTCTGGCATTCACGTGTAAGTCAATGTCAATCAACAGAAACACGTTAAGTACCAGAAAAATTTATTGTTTTATTGTTTATAGTTAGATGGGCTTTTCTAATGGCTTTCTCAGCAGAATTTAATATGCCAACCCTCTATTTATATTTGTTATCCCTATAATTTTAAATTTCTAAAATTGTCCTTAACAAAAAATTGAATTAAGTTTTCATGCAAAATTGAATTAATGCTATCCAATTTTTTGAAAAATCCGACCTATTCCAGTTTTTGAAAAATCTAGTAAACTATGGATTTTAAAAAAAATTTAGAATATTATCAAAGGTAGGATGATTTATCTAAAAAATATTTGGTATGTTGAATTTATTTTTTCAAAAACCTGATAAAAAATCATACCGAACATTTAAAAATACATTATCAGAATTTTAAAATATTAACAAAAATTTTCAATAGAAATTTCGTTCAAACATTTTAATTCATTTTATTCAAAAGCAAATTTAAAATTAATAAAATATGTGTGGTATCAGATATAAGTTGGAGGGAGAGTGACACGTTAAAATTTCATTTTTGTAAAATATTATTTTATACATTCTTATTACTACTAACATTTTGTTTGAGAGTTTATTTAAAAGTTTAGAGAGAAAGGTACGGTTTTAAAAAATATATTAAAAAAATGTCAAAATGTAATCAAAATGTAGTGAGAGGAGTTGACGCTTAAGTCTTTGAGATTGATTTAAGCTTGTAGCCAAAATGTCAGGAAGGTCACCACATATCCTTACGCACATATGGTATGGACATGACGTGCTTAGGGCACTTGAGCGTCGTTGTAAAATCAATAATTCATCCTGATCGTTGGTTGTGCCTTTTAATTTTCCATTAACTCCTTGTTGTTGATATTGACACCCTTTTGCGTCTTCTTTCGTATAAGTTCTGTAATTTTTTGATTGACTACATTTTAGTAAAACAACATAGTTGTTAGCAAGATGTTAAACCAGATGTTCTGTCATGACAATCAGACATCATGTTTTGTATGATGTTGTGACATGTTCTAGGACATGTTATACCAGAAAGTTAGGGCATGACTATTTTGGTATTTTTGAGTGTGTGTTGATTCACACGTGTGCAATATTTATGAGAATATATTGTGGGAATTTCTGTTATGACAGATTCTGTTATTTTTCATACAAGGTTCCTTGAGCCTTTTTAAGAAAGTTTGTATTTTGTTTCTTTTATTGTGCATGATGATTTGCAGTGAGTTAAAATTGATTGCTGCTATTTGTGCACCTCAAGAAGCCTAAGTCCATTAGGTCTGAAGGCTATTTAAAGTGAAGACCAAATCCTATTGATGTAGAGAATACGAAGTGAAGAATTTGGGAAATAAGGATTAGTCGTGTTTTGGTTGGTCTTTGGGGTTTCGTGTGTGTTAATTTTATGTCACTCGTGTATCTTATGATGCATTGAGGTTGACTGATTGTTCATTGTTCATTGTCGACTCTAAAACTTTTAAGCAGGAGTGTATTGTTCTTGATTAAAGTTTTTAAGCAAAATCAAGTATTATCTTGGAAGTGTGTTACTTCTATTATTTGTTGTTGTTGAATTGTCATTGGGATTGTGACTGATTAGGAAGTGATAGGGGGATCTCATATCTAATGGTTTCTAGGTAGAAGTTGCACAAGGTAGAGATTAGGCGAGAAGTTGTAACGGGGGAGTTTAACTTTGAACTAATACTATCATAGTGAATTTCCTTCCTGGCTTGGTAGCCCCCAAATGTAGGTGAGTTACACTGAACTAGGTTTACAATTCTGGTGTTAATTTTACTTTTCTGTCATTTAAATTTATGCATTTTACTTGTGTGATCAAGTTGTTTTGATTTCAGTGTTGTGACATCTGTCTCGACATCTTGTATCTGCGTGTCATAATTTCAATTGGCATCAGAGCAGATCACCATGTTCTGTTTTTAGGTGAGCTCTAGGGAATTCGTATTCTAGTACTTTGGACAAGGAAGAAGGAGGAAATGTTAATAGGCCTCCAGTCTTGGATGACACTAATTATGACTATTAGAAGGCACGTATGGTGGCTTTCTTAAAATCTATGGATAGAAAAACTTGGAAGGCTATCATCAAAAGTTGGGAGCACCCTGTGGTTAAGGATAAGGATGGAAAAGAAACCTTGAATCCAGAAGACGATTGGACCAAGGAGGAAGATGAGATAGATCTTGGAAACTCCAAAGCCTTGAATGCTTTATTCAATGGAGTTGACAAGAACATGTTTAAGTTGATCAAAACTTGTGTTGTGGCTAAGGATGCTTGGGAAATTCTCAAGACAACTCGTGAAGGAACATCCAAAGTAAATATGTATAGACTTCAGCCTGTCACTACCAAATTTGAGAAACTGAAGATGAGAAAAGATAAAAGTATTCATGACTTCCAGATGAATGTGCTTGAAATATCCAATGCCTTTAGTACCTTGGGAGAAAAGATACTAGAAGAAAAGTTGGTTAGGAAAATTCTTAGGTCTCTCCCTAAGAAATTTGAAATGAAGGTCATTGCCATTGAGGAAGCCCAAAATATCAGCAGTATGAGGGTTGATGAATTAGTTGGCTTAGTTCAAACATTTGAAATGACTATAAATGATAGAACTGAGAAAAAGAGCAAGAGTGTTGCCTTTGTTTCGAACTCAGAAGATAAAGAAGAAGAAATTGAACTTGACACAAATGAAGGGATGGTCAATGTCATTGTGTTACTAGAAAGACAGTTTAATCAAGTGCTGAAAAGAATGGAGAGAAATTCAAAACCTAATGTCCAGAACATTAGTTCTGACTCCAGCAGGAACAATAACTCTCAAGAAAAAGCAAGAACTGAAGAAAGGATCAATGAGAATAAATGGGTTAAATGTCACGAGTGTGAAGGATTTGGACACTTTAAAGAAGAATGCCCCACTTATCTAAAGAAACAATCTAAAGGATTGGCAGCTTTGTGGCCTAAAGAGGCAAGTGAAAGTGATGATAAAATAGCAAAAGGTGTAACTGCTTTAATTGGAAGATGGGTATCTGATGTAGATTCCAATGATGGAGAGACTTCTTATGCTAAACTAGTTGTTTCCTACAAAGATCTATGCACTAAGAGTGAGAAACAACGATAAATTATTGCTCAACTATAGTATGAGAAGGAAGGGTGCATGTCTAACATCTACAGTCTGCAGGATGAGGTAACCATGCTGACCTTCAAGCTTGAAAATATGACCAAGTCTATAAGTGAAGGTGTGAGAAATACACAAGAAATTGGGGGGGGGGGGGTTGAATTGGGTATTTACTCTCTTAAAAATTTTTCTTATTTTCCTCTTGTTACTTTCCTTCTTCTTCACTTGTTGCTTCTAGAGATTGCATTGCGGAAGCATAAATAATAAAGCACAACACAAGAAAAAAACACATGATATATCCTGGTTCACTTGAGCAACTCTCAAGCTAATCCAGTCCACCCTTCCAAGGTGATTTCGCCTCTCTCAAGAAAGGACTTAATCCACTATAACCAAACTGATTACAGTTGCACAAGCTAACTGCAAGTGACTAACAAATGAACAATGACACGTTCAGGGATCCAACTAGATATAACGTTCATTGACACAAATGACTACTGTCACTTGTCATCTCAAGTATTCTGATCTTCACAAGATCACTTGAGGAACCACTTAATTCTAAAAAGAATTTGTGTTGCTGGAGATTACATGAGTGCTTCTTAACAAGCAGATTACTCCTAATTAAGTACCTAGCAAGTATTGAGCAATAGCTCCTTGCTTTCTAATATAGAAACTAATCTAAAGATAAATCTCTAAGAGATTATAAGAACAGTAGTTTCCATATTGCTTTGATTTCTAGCTTATTTCATCTTTAATGCATATTTGCTCAGCTGGCTTTCTAACATGTTCTCCAACAATCTAATGACATAATGACAACATGCTGACATTTGAATGTCTCAAATGTTCTTCTTTTATATTTCTTCCAAAGGATTTGTTGGGAGGATAAAGATGTCCAAACCGTATTCCAACGGTCATATCTCAACGGGTAGATAAGCACGTGTTGGGTAGCTTTCTTTGTCCTTTTCTTCCAACGTTAATATTTCATATAACAGCTTGGACAGATCAGCTTCTGGCTTGTTCTTCTGATGATGTATCTGATGAGTAGTTCAGCAACTACTTGGTATGAAAGCTTCAGCATCAGAGTTGTTTAAGCACATGTTTATCGGATTTAATAGCAGCAGCTTATCTGATGAGTAATACGCCTCTGTCTGGGTGAATCTTCTTCTGACAAAATCTTCAACTTTAGAATCCAGTCTTCAGCATTCCAAGATCTAAGTTTCCTCTGAAACAGTCTTGAGAATCTTTGTGACTGATTCTTCATAAATCATGTCTTCAGAATCTTCAGAGTCTTGATCTTCAGAACATGTCTTCATAGTCTTTCTGCACTTGGTCTTCAGAGCCTTCAGCCTTCAGAACTTCAAGTCATCAGAGTCTTCAGAGTAGTTCTTCAGAGAACTATATCTTCAGAGTCTTGATCTTCAGAACACGTCTTCAGAGTCTTTCTGCACTTGGTCTTTAGAGCCTTCAGCCTTCAAAACTTCAAGTCATCATAGTCTTCAGAGCTTAGTTCTTCAGAGGGCTCACTCTTTAGAGACGCTTGTTAGCTTCCAGATCAGATGCACTTCTCAGAACAAAATCCACAGGAGCATTACAACTACAATATCCAGCATCCTTGGATCTTTCTGATCGGATCAGATACAGATGCATACTTGCTTCCTCAATATGCTTTGTTTGCTTTCAGATCAGATGCACTACTCAAAGCAGAATCCAG